TGAATCAGTGGACCGGGTATTATCATTAGGCTGGTCAATGAGACAATGATGGCTCAGCCGGCTTGTTTGATCATCAATTGACGTTGTGTGAGTTCATAGAGGTTACATGAGGGGATCAAGGTGTGGAGGATAAATGATAGAATAAGTAACGGGAGCCCCTTTTTGAAAAGGGGCACCTGATTTATTTGTAGCCTCGGGGCCGACCCCATAGGGGGCGTCGGATACTGTTCCAAGAGCTCTAGATAGTGGGATCCTTTTTTATATTCTGACCATAGAAATGTAGATTTTTCACTGGCTTTTACAGACTCACGGGGTCAAAGGTGTGGAGATACTGATTCAGAGGTACCACTGTCTTAACTGTTACACCGCGGGAATCATTAAGGCCCCGTTTGGGAGCGGTTATTTTACCGCGGTATTTTCGTAATCGCATCAATACCACAGTGGTATGATCTTACCACGTTTGGTACCTTATTTTGCTGCAGTATTGTACCACAGTATTTAGACAATAATCTGACAATACTGTGGTATTGCGATAATTGACAAAAAGCTGTTTATGAAAAATAAATCCGCACGGTGAAAGGGGACTTCGTCAAATTTGATCTCTTCCCCTTCCCTTTGTAATTCATCGGCTCCTTCCATCCGTTCGATTACAAAACTCACTATCAACCCATCTTCAACACCTTCACACTTCAAGATGAAGACAACCACGAGTTCAATATTAGTTTGTCAATTGACCTCATCGCACTGTACCTTTATCACTTCTTCCTTCAATCCACCGTTCCCTCAATCAATCTCGTCGCTTCTCAAATTCTGTCACTCGCTTTGATAACCTTGTTTCTCCTTCAATCAATCTCATGAATATCAAAGGATATGTATCTTTTCAAATTCGCTAACAATATGAAAAAGATGATCAAGATGATTCCTTGACGAGAGAAAAGTTCCAGTTGATTGGTGATGAGGTTCACAACTTTTGATGAGTTACAATGACCGAGCAAGTGAATTAATGATAAAAGATTGTTAAGTCTGTTTGAGTGTGGATCGAGAACGAACGATGTCAGAGGTTTTGTGGGTATACATACATACATACCACAGTCAGGAGAAAATCAGCACGAGTGGTGTTGAATTGCCAAACGATTATGACCAAAAACAGAGATTATAACTGTACCACACTACAAGTGCGGGTTTTCATCTCTACTGCATTATTGGGGCCAAAAATGCAGTACACTTTTGCAGTACATTACACTTTGTCACCGCTCCCAAACGGGGCCTAAGTGTGAAACCGGATTGAGCAAAGTTGCGGTGTCCGGGTCTGCGACTTCCTTCAATCACGGATCTTGTTTGCCATAGGTTTGCCATAGGTTTGCAAGCTTGTCTCTAGCTACCCTCTACATAGTCATCCACTCAGGCTGAAGTATGGACTAATGGAGGTACCATATGTCTAGACTCTTGTAACATATACATAATAAAGCTCATGACTCATACATGATCTTGAGTGGTCTGAGGATATTGAAAGGAAAAACATGCATAACAGAAGGATAAAGGAAGGTATAATGATCAGCTTCATTAAATATGTACATATGCGCTGTTGTAGTTGACATACTGCAGCTCAGGCGGACAACTCGAGGGCAGCTGGATGCAACCTAGCAAACCTAGCAAACCTATGGCAAACAATATCCACAATTGAAGAAAGTCGCGGACCCGGACACCGCGACTTTGCTCAATCGGGTTTCACACTTGATGATTCCTGTGTTGTTACTTATAATACAGACTTCAGCAACTTTTTTTGTTTTTAAGTGCGAAGCTGCATCATTGCATATTACACTAACTAAACAAGTTTACAAAAGAAACTAGTACACCTTAATACCAAGCGGCCCTCTAGTCAATCCCCGGAAAATGTTTTGTCTTTTGATCTTTTTGCATTCTGATAAACTCTTTTTTTTTCCTTCTTTTCAAACATTACTAAACTTTTTTTTTCATTCTGTCAAAGAATAAGAACTATCAGTGACACTGCCAAGTGTATGATCTGTCTTTGATTGTTTACCAATCGTGACTCCGTTCTATCTTTAGAATGAGCAATGAAGAGGGTATTCAGTGACATTTCCTTCCGCTTACTCATCCCCAATCTAAGGTGGATGGTAGAGCGTCAGCGTGTTTGAAGCGTCGGGGTTGTTTACCAATCGCGACCTTACTCTTTCTGTCCATCAAACAACATAGTATCCTACCCACTCGTCCCCCAATCTAAGGAAGGAGGTGGGGGCTTCAGCAACTTTACACTTGTTTTGAAGAAAAAGATAGTAAGCGGGGCCACGTCTACGACAAAGCTCGGGGCTTAGGTTTGGGATCTCTTACCTCCGCTGTGCCACTCCTCGATATTCGACTCTCCATCATTGGAGTCGGAACATCGAGCCAAAGACTGCAAGAGACCAAGACCTGTGATCGCGTCACTACAGGTTAGCCTCTTGTTACTTTCCCCTTACCTTTGTCTCTCTGCATGCAATAATGATTGGAGTCGGAACAATGAGCGAGAGACCAAGAGTGCTCACCTGCGATCGTGTCACTACAAGAGAGACGGTGAAAACGTGAGGATGCGACGATGGTGAGATTGGAAAAGGAAGACAAAAGCAAAGTTTGTGACAAAGGGCACCAACAAACGGATGTTTAACGGAACCGCAGGTAAGCAACTTTGCAACTAGATTGCACCCGTTGATGAATTGTCACCGTCCATACTTCAGGTTCCCTTCAATCTGGCTCAGCGCTCTCAATTGAGCAGAGACACTGCGAATAAAAGTACATGTGCCCCCTCGCCGGGACCTCGTCCCCTCTTTCCACGTCGGCCTCGAGGTATACGCAAAGCTGCAGCAGACTTGATCGCCCTTCCATTTCCACCATGTATGTATGTACCTGCAATGTCTGGCAGTCCTCCGAGCCGCCGGAGACGCGAAGCAGTGCTTTTTCATATTTACATTGTTTTTTTTGTACGCGGTGTTCTTTATACTCAATAGTTTATCCAGTATGATTCACCGTGCAGCGGCATTGCACTCGGAACAAAGTAATGAAAAGTAAATCGATGCGGATGTTTGGGGACCTGGTCAAGAGATTGTTGTTGATAACTATTCATAGACAAGCAATATGAATGGGTGAGAAAGCCGACCGGTCTTTGTCTCTTGTCGTTGACGATCTTAACCGATTACTTCAAGAACAGTTTCAGTGATAGTCCACAAACGTACACGCAGTCCCATCGAACGTTGATAGCAACATCCCATTTGGCCAGTTTTGCCCGTCGTGGTCCAGTCTTTTCATTCATCGTAGAGCCAGTCAAGAAACCGCTTCCAGCGACTCATTGCCTTGTCTGATATTCACCAGTGTATTTTCCTGCGTATAATAATATACTACATCGACAGCTCTATTCTTACCCCAAGCCTATCGCGTTGGATTTCATTGCGTTGAAAAATCCACGAGCAAAATCGCACGCCAGTCTCACATATTTCACGCATCATTGTTATCATTCAGCACACCTCTTTTATTTACTGTAAATACTCGCAATATTCCTAACATGGCTTCTCCTCAGTCAATCGACTTCTCATCAGGACTTCAACACATGATCCGTTCTATATCAGAGCGCTCCGCCCCACCTCAACTCCACAGCTCAGCGTCCTCCAAAACCAACCCGCACCTCAATGTGTCTGATTGCTACAAGCTACTCAAACAACCTGATGGAGACCGCCGCGAAGACGCGGTGATGCGCCAAGCCTTGGAGCTTTATTGCAGTCTCTTGACTCCTCCTACGACCCCTTCACCGAGTGCCGGCGACCGGCACGGTCATCAGGACGCAGGTGAGCTGCCTCATTCCCAACCTACCATTCCGAGTCCAAACACTAATCCTTAATTATCTGAAGCCGACACTGTAGCACATGAGCAATACTGTTCGATGTCGATCTTATCTTCCTACACTGGCCTTTCCTCAGCCAGTCCACGCAGTTCCAACTTCCAACAGTCCCCAGGAAACGATTACTCGCTCTCTTACCCAAAAGATTTATCCTACAACATGTCCACTCCATCTCTGTCCGTGTCAGACCGAAGTAGTACCGAGTTGGATGAGTCGAATGAGACCGACGCTTATCACACTGGTACTTCGCGCGTGTTCCGACCCAACTCGCCCGATGATCAAAGCTTATATCCTATCGGCGCGGCCTCGTCTTCGTCAGCCTCCGACATCGACGAGGTGGACAATGATGATCCTTTTGCCCGCCATCCTGGTGTGTCTCGTGCTCCAGGTTTTCAGTACTTGCCTCAACACTCGACAATGACATCGAAATCCACCATCACCAACTTTCCGTCGGCTGAAGACCGGGCCTCGGTCTTGTATGATATCAATTCACGAACTCATCACAAAGGCCTCGTAGATTCGAAACAGGCACATTTTGTTCGTAACATTTCAATTGTGTTTCGATCGCAACCTTGATTGAATAGACGTTTCAACTCTGCCATGATGTCTGACATGAACTCTCGCGTCTACAGGTTTTTCCTAAACCCGCACAGAAAGTCCAGGTGTACCATGGTCCTGCACACTTGAGTGTTGCACCTCAAATTGCTCGAACTAGTTACACATCTAACCAACCGCATGTTCCACGCCGCCGTCGGATGAGTTCGATGGGCGGATCATTATGTGAAGGCTTGACAATCCCCACCGAGCCTCTTCCAACGTTTGTCTCTCCAGGCAGTCCAATTCTTCCTCCCGTAGTTCCAGAACACCCCGCACACTCAGCGCAGCATGCGATGGGAGACGCCAAAACGAAAACTCAACGCACTCGAGCCATGTCGGTCATAAATTTCGGGTTCCATCGCACAAACACCTCCGCACCCCCTCCTCTTCCTGTCCTCCCACCCGTGATCTCAGGCCCTATCCCCTTGGGTCAACCGCTTCCGGTACCAACCAAGAAGGTCAAGGGTGAGGCATTGAAATTACAACAAAGAAGTCGGTCCCATACGATGAGTAACTCCGCAAAAATTCGTCCGAATGACTTGTACATGCCATCACGCCCAGTGCCTCCAACCATGCCAGAAGAGGAAGAATTGGCAAGTAAAACCAATCGCCGCTTAACACAAAAAGATCCAAAGTCGCTTTGGAAAGCGTTGAAGAAGTCTACCATCGGAAGTGGAAGCTCGAAGCCGAACTCGGTCGATTTAATGGGACCTCCGACTGAATCCTTGGACAAATCCTTGGGCAGGGCAACTGCCGGTGGTGGTATGCGATATCCTACCGCTAATCGTCCCGCCATGTAACTAGATTCAAGACTCATCTCGCCTAGCTTACACAACATACAATCCACGATGAAAAAATATCAGTCCCCGTGCACAACTTTCCATTACATATCTGCAATGACCTATACGAAGGTTTTGAAAACTCCTTCTATAATCCTACTGATAGAGCTTTTTCAGTCTCATCTCTATTTCTTGAAGGCAGCTTACTTCTTTCAACATGTATAGCGCAAGGCGCTTTTCATGGCCTTGAGCCACCGCATTCTTCTTTCTTGCACTCATTGCTTCACGCTCTCTTTATTCAAAATTGTTTCATTTACTGTTTACTTGATTAAATAATTTTCTTCCTTTGATTGTTATCTGCATCAACATCCACTATCCTTGTAACGATTGTAATCAATACTGACATCGCGGTCAAATTCCGAGCACCATGAGGTCACAATGACATCGTCATCGCATATGGTATGCTACCCTTAAAGCAAACCTATACGCTAGTAGTTATATTCAACTGCCACCTGACAATAAGAATTGACATATCGTCTTCTAGCCGCAGCTCGCTCCAGATTTATCTCCTTTGGAAGTTGAGCCACAGCTCAATAGCCTTCAACTTCCGCCCTGCATACCATTTTCTTTGGAATTCACACATGCATAACCAACACCATTTAGTAGAACTCAACGAATGAGCGACATCTTTTGATGTCGCGCAGCATATCATCAAACACCCTCAGCACTGCCACAGGTAGCGACAAAACATATATAATGTGCATCTTGTTTAAAGAACCACAGATCATTCAACTTATGTCATCTCAATTACGCTGTTGATATGTTCCGAAACATATTGCCGTGCATTCTTCAGAGCATTCCTGACTTTATATCATACCAGATCTTCAAGTTTGCTGTAGTACTGAGGATTTGTAATTTGGCTTTCTACCTACCTGAACAAGGTGGGACTCGGATGGATCCTGAAATTCGTACGCACGCGGTGAGGATTTCCCTTGCACGGCATCTGCATGCATTGATTATGGATTTATCTCGATTCATAGTCTAATCAAGCCAGATCTTGGTGACTACTTGATCCATTTTCACATCATCCATATGAAACCCATTCCACATCTTTCTAAGATGTTGGATCGAGTGTCCTGACTCGTGGTTGAAATTGTTTTTTTTAGTTCAGATACGGTCATTGACCTTGGACATTGTCTTGGACATTGTAAAAACAGGGAGGAAAAAAAGATCGGACAAGATCAAGTGATCTCGCCTTAAGATTTCCAAATCGCTACATCATTGGTCGCTCCAAAAAAAATCTGCATAGGGAGTGGAGCAGAGTATAAGTTGGACACGATGCATATTGAAAAGAAGTCATTAAGAAAACAACTTGCTTTTTGGAACGTTATAAATACCCGTGCAAAGGTCTTGTTTGGATATGTATTTATCATCCTGTTAAGTGGTCTTATACTTGTTTCTGTAAGGAAGTCCGCTGAACGCTGCACTAAATGCCTCAAAATACGGTCTTATATTGAATTCGCGCCCAGTAACCCGTAAGTGAGCCGTTTTTAGGGTCCCTCTGAATGACTACCTAGGAAATAGAACATACGTGCGCTTGGATAGCTTGGTGGGGTGTATTGAAGGACTACGAGCACGGATAAGTGACCAATATGAGATATGTGAATGAGGCCTAGAAAATCTGCAGATCAAAGTACCAGTTAGCGACTTACCTGAGATCAAGGCCCGTGCTACGTGCGGTCAAGCTATCGACTGTGGTATACATTCTGACAACACAAGAGTTAAGTGATGAGTGTCCACTTGAGAGGAGAAGCAGAAAGCAGACCTACAATCCACGTGGAGGTGCTGATATGATACCTGCAAAAAAATCAAAGGAAGTTTGAAAATAGGCAACTCTAGATTAGCTGATTATCGTTGAGAATCACTGTAGCTGAAAAAGAATCACCTGACAAAGTGATGATAACGGCAAGGAAGATAGTTACGCAGTGCATCATATCACAAAAGTTAAATAATCACCAGAGATGTGGGACCTGACTTCCTTAAGTTTTTGGTTTGTTTGTATACTTGTTTTATGAGAAGAATCTACCCAAAATCAAATAGAGCTCCGATGTGGAGAAAAGCAGAAGTTGTCATTCACCTGCCGCACCCACAATCAAAAAACATATTGAATCCCGTCTGCACTGCATACGTCGCAATATGGCTTGGATTGATTGTTGATGGGAAAATGTTTCGCCGTGTTATGTGTTCATTAATGTTGATTACACCCGAGTGAGAGTCTACCCTGCAGGTCGGTCAAGAGCCTTCATGAAAGTCCAGACAGAGTCGATGACAAGCGCATTTTTCGTTCTATGCCACGTTTCTCTGGGTTTTCACATTTCAGTAGGAATATTTCTAAACAGATATGAAGTGTTATGACCAGTGAAAAACATTACGAGCTCCTCAGATTTCATCTGCCTCGTTTAATGAAAACATCAAAATCCCCAAATACCTCGTGGACATAAAATCGAGATGTGGGAACCAATATGTAATTCCAAAACCGTTCCCAACATCGCAATCATGTGGCCCAAATCTGCTTCAATGAAAATTGGATAGACGATTTTGATATATTCAAGGTGACATCTCTTTTTTTGTTTGAGGAGATGTCCGATGTGTTCCTAAAGAAAGTCTCAACTTAAATGAGTATGCTGCCGAATTTGATACTTTTGATTCCTCAAAACAACTTCCAGTCATAACTTGGAGAGGAGATGTAATTTATACTGACATAGGGGTCAATTCTTAGGCACGTTGAGGATACATTGTCTTTGATGGTGGTATGCCAGTTCAAAATCAAACCTTTACCCTACATTTTGTTTGAATGCCACCCGAGACTCGGGATCATCTGCCTGTACGGTGAGCTGAGCCACAGCAGGACCCAGGAAAGCCCCTACTGAGGTTTCTGACGGAAAAGGTCGGAATTTTGCCTAAATTTTTACCAAGGTTTCTGATGAAAAACGTCGGAATTTGGCCTTTTTCTAAGAGGTTTCTGACCAAAAATGTCGGAAATTCAGCTAATTCAGGGACAATTTGAGGGAAAAAATACCCTTTGTGCCCAGACCGTAGGTCTGGGGTCTGAGCTGATAGTTTTCCGGAGGAGGTACGACGTAGGTGGGCGGTGTCCACGACTACGAGTAATGTCGTTTAAAATGTACTTTAAAATATAATCCAGTTTTTAATCCTAATAGTTTAGCTAGTCCAATCCTACGAGACCATCAATTATAATTTCATTGAGATTGTGACCATGATAAGAATAAGGGTCTAGACTAGTTACAAAAACTATCTGGGAATCAATGCCATGCTAATCTCACGATTAACATGTCTGGATTATATAGAGAGCAAGATAAGATCAATTACCATTGTCCCTCATCCGCTTATCTATTTAAAAATATTATCTTATTATATTCTTAAATCCTTTTTCACTGCTAGAACATCTATCGAAAATTAAGAATTCAACTTCTGGGCAAATTAATTATTAATCTTTTGATTAGATCTTCTAAGATTCCTATTACCAATTTTTTATTAAAACCGTATTCACCGTCAACTACCCCCCCCCGTTGTTACTCATTCTCATCGATTCATACGAAAATGTCGAACAGTATCATCGCAAATGCAACCGCTGCGCTAAGCGCAATCACGCCTGTTAACGACAACATCGGAGGGACGACACAAGGGAATCAAAGCTCCTCAAGCAGTGAAGACTCAAGCGGATCCCGACCTCAAGGATCCTTTGGAAAATATAACAAGCAGATGTTGATATCAAACTACCTCAACAGAGGCAAAGGTAAGCAATGTTTTGCTCACCTGATATCAAAACTTAATTCAGATCTCGTTAGATCTTTAATTAGGAACGTCTACTGATGAAATTCCCGAAACATTTCTATTAATTTATAGAAACGGGTAACCAAACTAAGCAACCTACAGGAAACATTGCAGACAAAGGAAAAGAAATAGGACAAAGTGAGCACATACGAATCCTCACAAAAAATGTCTAACCTCGAACCGATACTGAAACAGTCTACAAAATTCTTTTGTCAGATCCAGAAAAGTCGAACCAAGGCGGAGCGGTAGACACTCTGATAGTAGAGAAAGGCTACAGACAAGGCCCTACCTCAACGGATACGTCAGCGAAACGATTGGAAGCCGAATTCAGAAACATGTTTGGTACTTCCGAAAAACTGCCACAAATTCAAAAGAAACACCATCTCGTTGATAAAGAAGGAAAGTCTAACGACCCAACTCGACCCAACGAGAAATCAGGCGACACCACGCAAGGTCCTACGGGTATAGACCGAGTGATTGATCTAACCGACAAAGAAGATTCACCAGTATCCCTCTTCAACAAAACTCATAGCGTCACTAAAAGTTTTAAATTACCTGAATCCACCTTCTCAGAAAACGGCCTATCATTCGATTTTAGCATTACTCCTGATGCAAACGCCCAATCACTTCCACTCTTCTTCCAAAAGAACATGCAAACTTTGCAAGGACAACTACCCTTGACTATCTTCAACAAAGCTTGGCAACAAACAGCAAGCAACAATCATGTAGAATATAAGAAGGGAGAGAAGGAGATAGAAAAGTATAGGGGATACCCTTTCCCAGGTGAATGGACACAGTCAAGATTCGAGTGGGGTGATAATATGGATAATTTCATTAGCATGCTGCGCGAAGACTACAAATTCACCGGTTTCGCAGATGCTATGGAAATTCACAAGAAAAATGTGCACAACATCTTCAGGCAGCAACGGTCTTGGGTGATAGCATTTAAATACGACCTCACCATAAGAAAAGCGGTATTCGCAGTAAGGAATCCAGATCAGAAAGTACCTAATCCGGCTCTGGAACCGGTTGGCCTCGTCAACGAGATCTTCTACACAGCAAGAGCTCAAGAAGATTTAAACACAGACGACAATCCTTACAGAAAAGGCGGTCCTAAGGCCGGCAAATACCCTTACTCAGACGTCTTAACCGACGCACCAGCACCATCTACACTGGCTAAAACGAATGTAGGTCCTTCGAGAAACTACATTGAAAAGAAAGACAAACAACAATTCAGAACTTCCGGACCATACGGAAATTACAAAGGTAGAAATTTCAACCCTAATCATAATAGGAATGATAACAGCAAAGACAATGTGAAAGGGAAAGGAAAAGAAAAGGACACGTAGGTAGCATTTTTACCTGAGTCGATCTAGTCCTTCTTGATTCCTTCTTTATTCCTGTTCATAACCCTTTCTTATCCATGTAAACGATGACATTCTACATGTCAATGAAAAATTTTTATGTTTCGCTGTTTAAAAGATTTTTTCAAAACATTCAATATGTAGATATTATGAAACTTATTTAAATGTTTTTTCTTTCTCCACGTCAATTTATCCTTGTTTTGCTCGAAATTCAATTAAATCATTCCGTCTAACCCAAAGTACGAAAGTTCTAAGACCCCCATATCGAGAATCAGAAAACAGTGAGACATCATACGATTCGTCGAGTAGCGAGATTGCATTATCATCAGGAACAGAAGATAGTGACGTAATCATGGAGAGATGCGATTTGGTATGGCCAGGGAAAGTATCCTGCGAGATGAATGTAGAAGAATGGAGTAAAGCATTGTCGAAGGCAGGATTACTCAAAGAATACGAGGACATTTTAGTTGGATTCAAACAAGGGTTTGATCAAGGAATTCCACATCACTTCCTCATAGATTGCAAATGGTATACCCCTGAAAATCACTCATCTTCTTTACTAGCCATAGAGAAGATATTGTCGAATATGAAGAAAGAAAAAGATGCAGGTCGCATATTTGGACCTTTCACACACGAAGAGGTACACAACAGAGTCGGCTTTTTCAGGACAAATCCGATGGGAGCTGTTGTGAACGGAGACGGATCAATTCGAGCTATCAATGATTTATCTTATCCAAGGAACAACCCAGATATTCCGTCAGTAAACTCTTTCGTCGACTCAGAAGACTTTAAAACAACTTGGGACGATTTTGCAAGAGTATCCAAATTTTTTCGAGATTCAGAGGAACCGTTGCTCTTAGCCATTTTTGACTGGGAAAAGGCTTATCGCCAAATCCCAACAATGAAAGAACAACAACCCTATATGATGGTCATGGACCCAAACGGAATGATTTGGTGGGACACAAGAATAGGCTTTGGAGGTGTAGCAGGATGCGGCTCCTTTGGAAGGCCAGCAGATGCCTGGAAAGGAATCATGAAAAACGAATTTGAC